TGATATAGGATATGTGTGGATTGAACTGTCTTGGCATTGTAGGGTTGGATGGTTGATCTATGAATCTAGTATGGTGGACGAGGTGAGGTGATCGTACCTCGCCTATTAGGCGTTTAACTAGATAATGCTTGGACGTTGAGTACGTAACCATCGACTTAACCACCTAGTGTACGGATGGGTAGAACCCATTTAGAGGAGATAGGTTATATCCCTGCATGAAGAAGCTAGTAGAAGTGGCATTGGGTTAGTGGATCAGTGTAGGAGGGGATTGGTTGCATGACCATTGAGTCAATCCATATATTAGTGATCTGACCACCTCGATTAACATGGATCATCCTTCTATCCTTTTGCATGTTATATTCGGCGATTAGGTCGAGGGAGGAACCCCAAGTACCGCTTTTCTCCTATCGACCTCTCGTTCATTAATCTCCAATTGTCCACCTGCTAAGTAATAGGTTGAATAGATAACAACCGAGTGTAAGTGGCCTAGGATACTGTGACCCATGGAATATGACCGAGTTACTTTACTACATCCCTATCATTGGTATACTTGGCATTGTTAGGATAGAAGTGAGTCTGCATCATACATTTTAAAATGAATGTGAGGGATGTGTTATATGACCTCCCACAACCAGTTACTCATATAGTGAGGTATGTGTTCTATGGTTCTTTAAAATGAATGTGGAGGTTGAGGTGCTGATGACACTTTAATTATAGTGTTTGTCACTTCCATACTTGATACATTTTCCCCTTCGATCAAATGATTTTCGTCATTTCTCTATTATTTTTTAACTAAATCATAACTATTTGATCAATGAGTCTTGAATAGACCAAGGTTTTTTTTTGTACTCTTTGATGCCTTCTTGGTATGTTTTGATGGTTTTGAAGGCACAAAGCAACCTAAGGAAGTTTGGATCAAGCATTGAAGAACTTTGGAGGAACAAAGAAGCTATAAAGAGAAGACTATATAGTTTTTGTGATAAAGATGAGGTCTAATGATGGAGAAGTTTAGTAGAAGTTGTTATACGAGCCCAAGACAAGCCTAATAAAAGAAGACTTGGTGAAGAAAATACCAGCGACGGTCCAGCATTGGGTCCACTGCCACTAGAGGAAACCTAGTTAAGACGCACCCAAATCATAAGGAGAGGTCATCCATGGGTCAAGCATCCCCGCCCATGAAGCAAAAGGATGACGGTCCCAACCTCGGCCCTACTGTCACTTAAACCCTAATCTTCTGGAAGTCATGTTCAAGAAGTTACGCAGTCTACTAGGACTAGGAAACCCTTTCCTACTCAGCTTAGGAGGTTTTTAGCCGAGGTCTTCCCCTATAAATAGAGCGCATGACTCATTAGTACATTAAGGCTACACAAACACACACAAAACTTATGTACTCAGCTTGAGTTAAAGCTTAGCTTTCATAGAAGAGTCTACAACTAAGGAGATGTTGTCATAATCCATGGTGGTACCATCATTCTCTTCTATGTAGCTAGTTCGAAATAGTTTGTAAGAGTATATGAACTCGTTTATCTTTAAGTGAATGAATGCTATTATTTTATGTCATGCTTGTATTTATCTTCATGAATTTTGATGCTCATTGTGTGTTCATAGATGCCTAGTTTTCGATGACTATGTGATGATCATTGTTGTTTATATAGTATGAATACTTCTTTATCATCATTGTTTATGATTTTATGTTATGCTACAATATGAATTTTTCTTGGTATAATATAGTTTGTCAATAAATTACCTTGTAGTGATACCTCATTGATGCTACACGAGTATAGAGGAAATTATCAACCATCTATATCTTGAGTAGTATCAATGCTTGATTGTTTGATCATCGAATTCTCTATACCATAAATTGTGGCTCTTAGAGGCCCACAATCTTGTGTTATCCTAACTTCCTTGTTCTTCATTAATTAGGTGATGGCATGAAACAAAATCATGCATTAACTAGTTATATCCCTATCGCAAGAGGCGCGCGCACGGGTAGCGAGTTGCCTTAGTGGAAGGGATAGAGTGATACCATAGATGAACCATTGATGCATGATGTGAATGAGCCATAGTATGCATAAGTTATTCAAATTTCACCTTCCTCTAAAATAACATATCTTTACTTTTATGCATCTTTAAATCTAAGAACCCCTAAATAACTTTAATATTCATTGCTTGTTAGTTAGATGAAAATAGCTAAATGTTTCTTTATAGTTTTCGTGTGATTCTTGGATGATTTGTTTAGACTAGTTATGCATTAGACGACCTCTTGGAATACGAACCTAGGCATATCTAGGATTATCACTTGTATTTCTGATATCAAGTTTTTGGCGGCATTGCCGTTGATTTTTAGTCATATATGAAAGCATCTAACCATCTTATGTTGATTTTTGGTTTTGTTTTGTAGATAGTCATATGAATCCATTAAGTACTAGAAGAAAAATTCAAAAGCCTAAAAATCATATAAGAGATCGTCCAAGAAGGAGGAGCATCGAGTTTACCCATCTTGAAGGCGAAGGAACGAGCATCTAGCTCAAGAGAAGAAGATTCCTCAAGTCCCACCCATTTATATCCAAGCTTGGTAGAGCAAGAAAACTTTGATTTTGAGGAAAACCGAGCATCTTCAACTTCTTCAACCCCGTCAATGGTTGGAGAAGAAGAACAAAGAAAAATGGTTGTTACACGTAATCTTTATGAGTACACATCTAGTTTGTCAATAAATTATCTTAAAATTACCTTCTATTGATACCCCATTGATGCTATACGAGTATACAGGGTATGATCAACCATCTATACCTCGAGTAGTATCAATGCTTGATTGTTAAATCATTGATGCTATAGACCATCAATTATGGCTCGTAGAGGCCCACACTTAATCATGTGTTATCCTAACGTCCTTATTTTTCATTAATTAGGTGATGACATAAAGTGAAAGCAAGCATTAGCTAGTTAAATCTCTATTGCAAGAGGCATGCACGAGTAGAGAGTGACCTTAGTAGAAGGGATAGAGTGATAACATAGATGAACCATTGATGCATGATGTGAATGAGCCCAGTATGCATGAAGTTATTCGAAGTTTGCCTTCCTCTACAATAATGTATATTTAATTTTATGCATCTTTCAATCGAAAACTCCCTAAACGAATTTACTATCCTTTGCATGTTAGTTAGATGAAAATCCCTAAATATTTCTCTATAGTTTCTGTGTGAGTCTTTGATGTTTTTGTGTAGAGTTATGCTTTAGAAGGCCTTATGACCCTATGCACTTCTAGGATTTTCATTTGTGTTTTTGACATCAGGTACCTCCAGGGTTGAAGTTCCCCTTGGTTTTACAAATCAAACTAAAAAGACAACAACAGAAAAGGAAACTTGCTCTATTGATGGACGAGGAAAACAGAAGTGGAAGGCGTTGCATAAGCTAGCTCCCCATAGAGTTCCTTTAGGATCACTTTGACATGACATTGGTCATATATAGTCATGATTGAGAGAATCCACAATGGATATCTCCACTCACTATGCTCCTATTTTATCCACCTTTCCCTCATGATAGTGATAATAGTGGGTTCCACGCTTAGCAAGGCACATGGGATAGTCAGCATTCAGATTGCATATGTCAATGCAATAATGCTGCTTCTAGACGTGTATTGCATTTGAAAATAAGGTACATCGTCCTGATATAGACGATTAAACTCTACAATAAACAAAATGAGGCAAATTAAAAGATATACGTATATATAACCAAGAATTACAAGGATTGATATTGGCACCATATGAGTTGTTTGATTCATGTAGGGCTTAATCTTACCATATTTTATGGCATTTACCTAGACTAATAAGCTACGGTGGCGACTGTTATACCAAGCTAGGTCAATAAAGGATACTTTTGACGTGATCAATGCACAAATTAATTCAGATTTCAATAGTGAGAGATTAGCACTAGCTTGATTGAGCAATCCAAAAGGACTTGCCAAGGATCTCTCCTGAAGTGATTAATTTGTAGGCACTGATGAATAGAACAAAGTTAGAGGAGGTATAGAGAGAGATGAGTCGGGACACGCGATTTTAACGTGGTTTGGCCAATATGGCTTTACATCCACGTCCCGGAGATAGTTACCACTATCTCACGAGAGACTCTAACTTTTATTAAAATAAAAGACTCTTAACCTATGAAATTGAAACAACTTTGACACTTCGTGTCAAGAACCAAATAGGTGCAACTCCACACCTATTCAACCCTTAGCTAAATCCAAGCTAAGCTACCCACTCAATCAATCAAGGCAACACTCTTAGTTTGACTTGATTGAAGAGCAATCCACCTAGTGCAACTCCCAAGCAAGAATCCCCTCTTGCTCTTGCACTAGTCCCAATTACAAATACCCTTCTACCCTAAAACCCGACCTAGCTTGAATATCTCAACCCCCGAGATATCAAGCTATTCACACCACGAAATATGATCACACAATTTCGCTATTACAAGGGAGAAGAGAACTTTTGCAAAAGGTATCTTGTCCTGCAAATGACTCTTCTATTTATAGTTGATGTGAGCCTTCATTTCCTTTTATTTGTAGTCCTTTATGCGGCAAGTATCTCCTTGATTTGATTCCCTTATTGCTTGATATGGTAACTCCTTTGAGGGCAAGCAATCACTTTGAATTGTTTCCTTTTTCCTCATCATTGATTGTGATATTTCTGCATAGATTGTTAGTTCCACATAATAACATATATTCAAAACAAAATGTCCCATGGTATTCAATTTGCTTAATCAAGCTTGTTGACTCAACATTCTCCCCTTAAGCTTGATTTAGCATCCTGTTACTGCATATGCTTCATAAAGCTCAAGATTAAAGAATGGCAGTCATTATTAAGAAAACAAATTACTTCATTCATCCTGAGTATAGCTCAGGGCATTATTCAATCAAAACACTCAACAGCGCAAAAAGCAACAATTCAAATAAGCCATTTAAAAACAGCAACAACAACAACTCGAAACCCAAGCTCCCCCTAAACCTAAGCTCCCCCTAAATTAAGGCTTTTAATTGTTTTGCTCGAGATCATGATTCTCATAGAGAACCACTCCTTGAGAAGTTTTTTGATTATTGAGACGCTTGAGAGCTCTGTTAGAAGGACGAGGTCCTTTAGCCTGTCGCTTGAGCTTGAAGGGACGAACAGAAGCCGAAGCAGAGCACCACCATCCGCGGACGCCTCGTCCTCTTCGTCTCTTTCTCTAATAGCAGCATCCGTGGCCCCATGATCAGCTCCCCCTGATGATAAATCAACAATGGGAGGAAGTCCCACCACAGCAAGCACTTCGTCAATGGAGGGATGAACACAACCGTCAGAAATAGTGACAAAGTCAGCCAGAGGAACACCGAGACGATGCAGCAGCAACGTAATCAACCCAGCAAAGGGAAGACCAACACCGGGAGAATCGTTGGCAGAGGCATCCACAATTGCCCCAAACAGCAAATGAGGATAGCTCAACGACATATCAGAGATGGCGTGAGACATGACCCAGCAATCAAGAGGCAAAACAACATCCAAGCGGTCAGCCCGCGGAAAGTACACTCGGGTGATGTAGTAGTGGAGAAGCTTGAGTGAATCATCCAGCGAGTCAAAGGAGCGATTAGTGACCTCCCGACGCAATTCAAACTTGTATGACCAGAACTCCAAAGGGGAAATGAGCTGCTTGCCTCTAGTAGGCAGAACAAGAAATGCAGCAAGGTCATCGACCGAAAAGAGTGAGAAAGTGACCATATACCAGGGTGGAGAGTTTGCCAGTTGTGATCCCATCGGTCCGAAGATTAGAATAGAAGGCACGAACAGCAGCTGGGCAGTAGCTGCGAGGATGGGAATCACCCATAGGAAGCCAGCCTAGGTTGTCGATGAGGGTGATAGGATCCACAGAGTCGACAAAGGCGAAAGCATAGGGATCCAAGGTACAGATTGGCAGAATTGGCTTCTCAGCAAAAATCTGTTGATTCAGAATCGACGAGCGGGAAAAGAGAGACAAAAAATGGATAGAATCGATGAGCGGGAAAAGGAAGTTGAGAGGGAATTATCGGGGGGAAAGAAGGTCTAGAATTACAGAGGAAAATGATGAGATCGATTGGCAAGAAACGACATGATTTAGCTGATTCGGTTTTTGATCGGAAATCAGGGAAGAAAGCGAAGTCGTCGCTGCGAAAGGGAAAGGAAGAATCAGCGATATTATTTGCTGGGAAAAGCGAAGTTGCTGCGCAAGCAGGGAAGGTGCCGTTTTGGATTTTCTTTTTTTCTTTTTTTTTAATTATTATTATTATTATTTATTATTACTGTGTTACTGTGCGATTGTGTTTCCTTTTTTTTTAAATATTTATTGATTTACTTATATAGAAAAGAGAGTAAAGGATCAAGACAGGTAAGATCACGATCCAAAATTAGCAAGATCGGATTGGAAAATCATTCCTAACTCACTGCGAATAAATAAAAATTGATCTATAGGTACTGGTTTAGTGAAAATATCCGCTAGTTGTTCACTCGTAGGTATGAAGGAAATAGACACGGTTTTACTCTGAACTAGCTCTCTAAGAAAGTGATATTTAATCTCTATATGTTTTGTTCTAGAGTGTTGGACCGGATTTTTGGACATATTGATAGCACTCGTATTATCACATAAAATAGGGACGGTAGGAATTATAATCCCATAGTCTGCTAGTTGAGTGCTTAGCCATAGAATTTGTTGACAACAACTTCCTGTAGCAATATACTCAGCCTCAGAGGTTGAGAGAGATACGGAGTGTTGTTTCTTACTAAACCACGAGATTAAGGATCGACCATAAAATTGACAGGTTCCAGAGGTACTCTTTCTATCCGTTCTACTACCTGCAAAGTCTGAATCGCTAAATCCCATAAGTTCAGGATTTGTTTCCCTAGGATACCATAGGCCTAAGGTAGGTGTACCTTTCAGGTAACGGAAGATGCGCTTAACGGCACTAAGATGACTTTCCTTAGGCTTGACTGAAAACGAGCACACATACAAACACTAAACATAATGTCTGGCCTACTTGCCGTGAGATAGAGAAGTGAGCCTATCATCCCACGATATTTACGTTCATCGACAGTCTATACCACCTTCATCCTTGTCTAGTTGAATATTGGTAGCCATTGGGGTCGGACTAGGATTAAGACTACTAAGATCAAACTTGGTCAACATGGACTGAGTATAGTTTGTCTGGCTAATGAAAATTCCTCTTGAAGTTTGTTGGATTTGAAGTCCTAGGAAGTAGGTAAGCTCACCCATCATACTCATTTCAAAATTTTGTTGCATGGAGGAGGCAAACTCTACACACATAGCTTCATTAGTAGCCCCAAAAACTATGTCATCAACATAAATCTGGACGACCATAAGGTCATTGTTATGTTTCTTTAGAAATAGAGTTGTGTCAACCGAACCCCTGACAAACCCTTCACTCTCTAGGAATTGAGTTAGACGTTCATACCACGCTTGAGGAGCTTGTTTTAAACCATAGAGAGCCTTTTTAAGTTTGAAAACATGGTTAGGGAACCTATGATCTTCAAAACCAGGAGGTTGTTCTACATAGACCTCTTCATGAAGAACTCCATTCAGAAATGCACTTTGACGTCCATTTGATATAATTTGAAATTCATTGAGGAAGCAAAGGCACATAAAAGTCTAATTGCCTCAATACGAGCTACGGGAGCAAATGTTTCATCATAATCTATTCCTTCTTCTTGATTATAGCCTTTAGCCACCAATCTAGCCTTATTTCTATTAATTATCCCTTGATCGTCTGTTTTATTACGATAGACCCATTTTAGTCCTAGAATAGTTTACCTATTGGTCTAGGAACCAAATCCCATACTTGAGCTCTAGCAAATTGGAGCATTTCTTCTTGCATAGCAAGAAGCCAACTTTCATCAAGTAAAGCTTCCTTAATGTTTTTAGGTTCAATCAAGGATAGATAGACTGTAGCAAGAAGTGAGAAGTAAGAGGTCTGACCTTGATACAAGTCCTTACTTGATCTTGTTTTGACCCCATCATTAACGTTCCCAATGATTTGATGCGGAGGATGTGCCTTGGCAATATGAGGTGGTGCACTTGGCTCTTTGGATAACTCATCATGTGAAAGCTCCGCCTCTTGAGTGACTGAGGTTGTTGTTGTTCGAATTAGTCCCAAATCATCTTTATCATCGTCCTGTTTTCTTTCATGCTCAGAGATATAGTCAGTTTCATCAAAAACAACATGTATTGATTCCTCGACCTTCAAGGATCTCTTGTTGAAGACTCTATAGGCTTTACTACGAGTAGAGTATCCCAGAAGTACTCCTTCATCCGACTTTGAGTCAAATTTTCCTAGTGCATCCTTAATATTAAGTATAAAGCATCTACATCCAAATGGTTTAAGATAACTAATATTTGGCCGCCGATCTTTCCAGATTTCATAAGGTGTTTTTTCTATGATAGCCCTAATCAATGTCCTATTTAGAACATAACAGGCGGTAGCTACTGCTTCGGCCCAAAAATACTTAGGAAGCCTATAATCACTAAGCATTGTTCTAGCTAGCTCTATAAGAGCTCTATTTTTCCTTTCCACCACACCATTTTGTTGAGGTGTCATAGGGGCTGAAAACTCATGGGAGATTCCTAGTTGATCGCAGAAATTTCCAAAGCTCTCTGAATCAAACTCTCCTCCATGATCGCTTCTAATGCTTTTAACACTAAGGGATTTCTCATTTTGAATATTTTTCACAAGAATTTTGAATTTCTCAAGAGGTTCATCCTTGTGAGTCAAAAAGATTACCCATGTATATCTAGAAAAATCATCTACTATGACAAAGGCATAATACTTTCCGCCAAAGCTCATCACATTAGTAGGCCCAAACAGATCTAAATGTAGAAGCTCTAAAGGTTTAGAAGTAGTAAAGTGAGATATACTCTTGAAGGATGCTCGAGTTTGTTTTCCTAGTATACATGCATCACAAAAGAAATCCTTTGATTCTTTTAATTGAGGAAGACCATCTACTAGACCCAATTTAGCTGATTTAGCCAATCTCTTTATGCTGACATGTCCTAGTCTTCGATGCCATTGAAATTGCTTATTCTTATCTATAGAGAGAAAGCAGGTTTCATTGAATGAAGCCTTTTTACTAAGATCAATGACATAGACATTATTTTTCCTAACTCCTAGGAATAATAGCTTATTGTCTTTGATCCTCTCAATAAGGCATGCCTCAAGTTGAAACACAACTCTATTAGTTGTACCACATAATTGACTAATAGATAACAGGTTGTGCTTAAGACTATCAATGAATAACACTTGAGTGAAGGTAGGATTTGGAGGCTCTCCAATTGTACCAACTCCAAGTATTCTACCTTTACCATTATCACCAAAGGTTACTTTACCTCCCTTTTTAAGAGTCAATTCTGAAAAGAGACTCTTGTTTCCCGTCATATGATGAGAGCATCCGCTATCTAGATACCATTCATTTGCTCCTGCTCTCTTAATGACCTGCAAGATATTCAAAGTGTTGATTTTGGTACCCAGACTTGCTTGGGTACCTTTTTCTTGGGATACGATTGGTGTGAGCTATAAAGGTTATTGTAGTAGCAATTTCTCCTAATGTGTCCTTGTTTATGGCAGCAATAACATACAATTCTTGAATGACATTCTTGTTTAGTGTGTCCTTTTCTAGTACATTTACTACATCTCACATTTTTCTTGCATTCTTTACTATGGTGACTCTTTCCACAATTCATGCACCTAATTTTGTCATAGTCTCCACTGTGAGCCTTACAGTCAGTACATACAATTGATTTATTATGAGGTTTTTGCACTTTTTCTTTAGACTTCTTTTCCTTGTCTTCTAATCGTTCTATTTTGATATTTGCTTCAAGAAGTTTAGTCCTAGAGTCTATTATCATTTTTTCCAGTTCATTATTTCTGGCTCTCATATCTTCTAGTTCCTCAAGAGATCTATTATTCTTGAGTTTACCCTTTGATTTCTTCAGAACTTGATTTTCGTCACGTAATATTGCAATATCCTCTTTTAATTCCTTAATTTCATTCTTGCTTAGTTTCAAATCCTCTTTTACCTTATAGTATCTATCTTTTAGTTTTTCGAAATGATTTTGCATTTCTTCTTACGCTTCAACTATACTACTACAAAGGTTTGAGCCACAATCACTATCATAAGTAGGAAAGGATGAACATACCTCATCTTCATGTGATCTTGATGAAGAGGATCCATCATCACGATTGGCAAACGCCATATAGCCTTGTATTTCACTTTCGTTATCTTCACTTTCGTCTTCTGATCCACTCCAAGCCACTGCATAAGCCTTTTCTCTACTTTGTCCTTTGTTGGGACATTCAGCCCTTACATGACCACTCTTTCCACATTTGTAGCATTTTGGTAAACCTTGATCTTCACACTCACTTTCCACTTTATTTTTCTTCTTTTGATTATCAAAGGATTTTACCTTACCATTTCTATTATTCTCACGAAAATAGAAAGAACTACCCCTACCCTGTTTTCTTTCTAACTTTAAAAACTTTTTGAAATTTTTTGAAATGAGAGCAAATACTTGATCGAAATCATCTCCTGATCCTTCATCATTTGAGACTTTCTTCTCACAAGCCTTAAATGCTAAATTCCTATTTTTCTTGTCATTATTCTCATCACCTTGAGCTTTTAAGGCAATTTCATGACTAATTAGAGATCCTATCAAATTTTCAATACTGAGAGTAGATAGA